AACTTCACTGAATTACACGGCAATGTGAATATTAGGAGTTGGACCAGATGATCCAGACCTGGTGAAAGCTAGGAATATACTACATAGTTTAGATAAAGTAACACTATTATTTGGAACTTCACTGAATTACACAGCAATGCGGGTATTAGGAGTTGGATCAGATGATCCAGACCTGGTGAAAGCTAGGAATATACTACATAGTCTAGGTAATGACTACTAACTTTGTTTGTGACTGGTTTGTCTGTAATTTGTTTTTTAGATTATTTAAATTTATTAGGTGAGGGTAAAAATATCAATCAGGATTGAAATGTTTACCACATTTTTGTGACTACTATGATTGATTTAGGAACTTTAAATGAACTATTCTGTTTCATCCATTCTGAAAACAAACTTTTAGTAAATTGTTTTTCTTGTCTATTTTCATACAGTTTGATATTTTGTTAGAGTTGATTTTTGCGAATCATATTGCTAACTTAGCTTACAAGCACCATGATACTACCGGTAACTAATACTTGTTTCCCTTTACACTTGGTTTTGTCTTTCAATGAAATAAACATATACCACTCTTAGTCACATATAATCCATTGTCTTGGATGTGAATTTGTTTCTGTGAATCCTAGCTCTTTTGGAATGAATTGTAAATTATTTTATTCACTAAATTATTTCTACAAAAAATGTATAATAATAAGGTTACCACAAAGTATGCACTTAGGCAGTACAGGATCTCATCAACCTATGGTAATACAGTCATACTGCTGGGTATTGTTTTTGTGCATATTTTACAGTAATAACCTCATAATAGAATAGTAAACATTAAACAAAATTTACAACTAATTATTAAAAAATGAATATAAACTGGACTGATATTGTAAATATTGTTATGACCATATTATTATTATATATATATATATTAGTTTTAAAATATAATGTAAGCCTTTGTATATTACAGGAGGTGCTGTGTATATTCCATCTTGGGGTAAATTCTGGCTGGCTGTCCTTAATTGCTATAGCTGGGATGGTATGAATACGTTGTTACCAGAAATGTGGTAAGTGTATATGGTGTTCTATCCACACTATTGAAATGATATGTTTTCTATAACAAAATACCAGATAACATAATATTAAATAAATATTCAAATTGGCAGCCATCTTTGACTGTGTACAATTGTTTGTCAAAATGTCAGATAATATCAACTTTTAAATTCTGTAAACTGGTGAGTTTGCGTGATTTGTTGATTTAAGGGCATTCATGCAAATTAAGGTAGCAACATGATAAAAATGATTTCATTTGAGATTCAGACATTCTCTAAAATTTACTAAGCATGCTACAACTATAAATTTTGGCAGTGGAGCAGAGGATTTTGACAAGATCAATCCACCTTATCATTGTGAATTAGTATAATTGCAGCTGTTCTTGCAGAAAAAGCATGTCATGGTCATGTTAATGATATCATGCAGGTATGAGTTCCTTACTGTGATGAGGATATATCTCATAAATCACATTTTTGTGCACACAACTTGTGTATAGACTTCATCACCAATGATGAAGAAACCAACTCAATGTGTCGAAATTGCTCAGATGGAATTCTTTGTGAACTGATTCTGTGGCGCTGATGACTCATTTCTGATTGGTACATTTATGAATATATGGCAGATTTTTAGTAGCTGAATGAAAACTAGAAACATTGACTGCCTGCCAGACTTGAACTTTTTTAATCAGTGGCTAAACTGGTCTAAAGACAGTAGTAAAATGGTGACAACCTCCACAAGAAATGCATATACAGACTATGAGACCCAGATATTAATTAAAATTTACTATAATTCAAGATATGATATTAAGATAGTGATGTTATCAGATATGTTATTTTGACTTGTCATTTTAATTATTTTGCTGTCAAATTTTGGTGATTATTTTTTCTTCCAAATTCTGTGTTAAGATAGTGCTGCAATCAGATTTGTTATTTTGACTTTGATTATTTTTCCCTCCAAACTCTGACCAGTTTTTTTCTGCTTAAATTTGTTCTGCCTATCAGTTATTGATGATTTTTTGCTTCTTATTTGATTAGTATTTTCCCACTAAGGTATCTGAGGGTAAGAAGAGTAGAATGCACATTTCACGATGTACATTTCATAATTTCTGATAACAGTGTCACTTTATTAAGTCAAAATTAATAGTGAATCTGTACTGAATATTAGTTGTCATTCTGTTTGCTCACAATTACAGCTTTATTTTCAGAAATACTATCGGGTAATTGAACTTCATTCAGTAGATATTCTGATGTTGAATTTTGGTTATGTTAACAATATTATAGTTGACACTGCCAAAGTTTTGACACTTCTGTTGTATAATCGTGGGCCACAAAGCCTATTCAGTGTATACAGATTAATACGTTTGTAAAAAAACAAATAGATTGAAATAGAATAATTTAATGTTTTTATTGACAGGTTATTTCCTAAGTGGGTGCCAGCTCATCCATCTACTCTGTGGTGTCATTGCAGACAGGTTTATTTGCCAATGTCATATTGTTATGCAACAAGACTTACTGCTCAAGAAGATGATCTGATCAGGTCACTGAGGAAGGTAGACACAAACATTTCAATATTTATACAGATAAAGGGACGACGTCAAAAGATCGATGTCGGATAAAAAACTTATTTCCTTTAGTTTGGGG